GGGGGGGGGGGGGGGGGGGGGGGGGGGGGGGGGAACGTGGAACAAAGGGTGGGACAAACAAAGCTCTGGGAAGATGAGCGTTTCCCTTGAGAGCGGGGAGAAATATTATTTCCTCTTTGAGAGCGCAGGAAATAGTTGGTTCAAGGCCGCACGCAATCCCAGATGCAAAAAAAAAAAAGTGCGGAATCCGCGGTCGTTACGTCACTCCCTCCTCCGCCGTGATTCACGGGGGGAAAAGTGGAAAAAAAATGTAATACGAAAAAAGAAATGCGGTCGCAGCGCACCCTTGACCTTCCCCGTTCGCGTCGTGTTGCGCAGTATCCCGGGCACACGAGGGGAATCCTCGATGGCGAGGGCCCCGCTCGTTAGCGCGGTAATGACGGGGTAGGGACCTTCCTTGGGGGGGGGGGGGGGGGGGGGGGGGGGCCGAAAGGATCGAGAGTTATCGAAGTTAGTGTTATCGAAGGATCTGATCGCGCGGCAAGGCCGGGACGCCTCTGGCGCGATTTCGGTCGAGCGATCGGATTGGATTTACGGGGGCCACGGTGGCCTGGATACGTTTGCCCCTTGCGCAAACGCCGCTTCTGGTTCCAGCGATCTTCTCGAGCCGAGAGTCCTGTTTTTTTCCGGAGCGTCGTCGGTGCTCGAGGTTCGCGAGACCGTCAAATATTCGTAACCGTCGGGTTAGGTGACCGGCGATCGCCGGTCCTCTTCTCGCGTGGGAGTCGGACGACCTGCCCCGTAATTGCACCCATCGCGATCGTGCGATCTCGTCCGAAAACATTGATGAATCGCTCTCCTTGTTTTCGAGGCCGGTCCTCAGATTTCCGCGGATTCCAGTTCCCCGGTCCTCCTGTCGGGTGGCATAAAAACAAGAAATAGTCCTGCCCCGCGTGATTCATGCCCCTGTTCCACTTGTGCTCAGTGATTTACTACGCGTAAATCCCACGATGTTATTTATTTATTTATTTAATGTATGTCTTTTTATTTTCTCGTTCGTTGCAGGGTGTCCTGCGGATCAACCCGAGGAACTATACCGAGGCCTATATCAGCGCGCCGGTAATTCTTGGTATATTTCCCCCGTTTTCATGATATTTTTTTTTCCGCTAACCCTGTGTCGCCTCGCCGTCGTCGTGTGCAGTATGATCTGGCCTCGTTTTTTTTTTTCTTTCGAGAGTCGGGACGTCGTGCGTGGATTCGTTGACTCGTTTCTGGGAATCGTTTATGTTAATTAAATTAATTTCGCATTCGTGCCGTCCATTAACACTCCGCCTTCTTTTTTTGGCGTTGCTAGCCGACTTTCGTCGTCGTTTCCGTGAACTTTTGCCCAGACGAACCTCACGTACGTGCTCGGCATGCTCACGTGCATGCTCATGTGTATGCTCATGTGTATGCCCGGCTGCTTCCCGACGCCTCACAGTAGATGGCGCGATCGCCTCTCGCCCGATAGAACATTTTTTTTCTCGCTTCCAGAAGACGCGCGCGGCGACGATCCACGATGCATCACTCCATGTCTTATTCGCCAATAATTGTTTTTTTCTTCTTTCCCCCCATCTGATTCTCGTGACAGGACGGAGCGATGGACATATACATATGCGGGACGCGTGATCGGAACCGGTCCCTTCAGGGCGACCATGTCGTCGTCCGTCTCTCTCCCCCTCACGAGTGGATGGTGAGGGGTCGCTTTTTCTTGCTCGGGATGTGGTGGGAGGGGGGGGGGGTTGCCACCTGTTGCTAATTTGTACGGATGGGACCTGTTTCAGGTGCGATGTCCGTACTGCAAACTTGTCTTAATAGTCTTAAATTAGTTTGGATTTTTTTTTTTAGAGCTAATGAAGCTTAAAAGCAGCTAAAACCACTTTTTTTTATGCGAGTGAGAGTAATTGGCAACACTCTAATGGCATCGATTGGTACTTTGGCTCAAGGTAGGTATTTAAGGTGTGCATGGGAAAGTCACACACGCAAGTATGCTTGGAATATTTGTCCATATTTCCACGTGTCCACAGTCCATGTGTCCATATTTTGTTAATTTCGAAGGTGGCATCCCTACTTGTGAGGTTCGGGGCTGGGGACCCGATCTCCCGGTTCCATCCGATGTCTTAATTATTTATTTATTTTAATGTTAATATGTATATTTGTTTTGTTTTATTTATGTTTTTGTTTTTCCTTATTTTAAAAATAATTTTGGTCTCGTCGGCTCTCTCAGGTGTGTCATAACCGCGTCCTGGATTACCTCCCGAAACTCACCGAAGACGAATTCGCATCCCTTTACGCCGAGAAGAGACTGAAGCCGGAAGACCGGCTGGTGGTCGACGCGGCGAGGCGGGGTCGCCTCGGGCCGGTCGACGCCGGCGACCTGGAGGTCGAGGTCGCGTCGCCGAGAGAGAATTCGGGCGACGAGGGCCGAGGGGATCCCGAGACGATGGGGCGAGAGCCGGCCGAGAAGAATAAGAAAGCGAACAGGAGGGGATCCCGAGGCGGACGGAAGCACAAGAAGAAGACGGAGAGAGACGAAGCCGGGTCGAAGGTCGCCGGGGCGACACCCGGGTCCGGGGCCGCCCCGTCGGTGCGGCCGAGAGGATCGGCGACAGACGCCGGGTTCGCCCCGGGCGACCCGGCGACCCCCGCCTTAGAGAGTGCCAAGGATGCGGAATCCCGCGGCGGCGAGTTTGGGGCAACCGCGCTCGTGTCGGAGAGGGACTCAGTTGTACAGCCCGGGAGCTTTAACCGTCCCGCTACTAAGCCCGTGCCGAACCCCCCTCACCACCCACTTGTTTGTACAGAGATGACCAATAAAGTTTCTCATCCCATTCGCACCGGTCGGAGAGAGGAGGTTAGAAGGAGCGCGAAGGAGGCGGTGCCGGATTCGGGGCTGGACGTCCTGGACCTCCTCCGTCTGCCGTGCTGGAAGAAGCTGGTTCAGAGGACCGGCAAGGTCATTTCCAGATGGCGATTCGAGGTTGCACGAGTTTTGAGGGCGCGAGAGGTGCCCTCGTACGAGAATTCGCGGTCGAGTCGACACTTAAAATCGGGTCGACACTTAATATCGGGTCGACACTTAATATCGGGTCGACACTTAATATCGGGTCGACACTTAATATCGGGTCGACACTTAATATCGGGTCGACACTTAATATCGGGTCGACACTTAATATCGGGTCGACACTTAATATCGGGTCGACACTTAGAATCGGTCGACACGCGAGAACGACTTCGCTGGATGCATCCGAACCGTTTGCACGTCGATATTTGATGCGTTTGTTGACATTCGAAGGCTTCGTCTCGTCGACGAGGCGACCCCTCTTTAAATCCCGTTGCATCGGTTCTCGTCCTCACCGAGGAGTTTCGCTGCTTCGTACTGTCGATGACGTCGTCCGAACGCGGTCCGTTGACTCCGGTCGAAACTTAAGTCTGAACGGGCCTTGACCTTGCCGAGAACGGGGCCGAAACGACCTTTCTTTGACGTCGTGGCTCGACTTCCAGAGGCCCAGGTCGGATCCGGTGGATTCCGTCGTTTCTGGGTCCGAGGTGGTCCACGTCTTTGCTGCGAACTGCTCTCGTTTCCAGGTCGACCGTAACTGTGAATTCGAACCCGTTTCAACTTGGGGAACGGCCTTTTAGTAAAGCCAAGATCCGGACTGGGTTCCAGCAGCAATTTTCCAGCCGAATAAATGCCTCTGTGTTTCCAGCTGAAACACGGCTAAATTCCAGCCGAAAATTCCTCGGTGTGAAATCCAAGCCGGTGAAGTCCGGCTTCGAACCGGCGAATTCGCAGATATCGTCAGGGTGGAAAAGACCCAAAAGAGATGTGAGAAAAAGGGCGTGGCATCTGTGAAAGCATGAAGCTCCTGCAATCCTTTTGCCAGGAATGCTTTCGCATTTTCCGACCCAAATTTCTTGGGACGTACCAACTACCAGTATTTTATGCCTATAGTTAGCAATGTCTAATGTAATGATATCGTTACTCGATGCGAAATGGCTTTAGTTCTATTTATGAGCAGAAAGTTTCCTGGATCCTGACGGTAACGAGGAATAAGTGCGGAAAAGAAGACTTTCTGCTAAATGAGAATAAAAATGTTAAAAGTGAGCCCGCTGGAAAGCCTCGTAAACGGCCCGTGGCGACACTCGGCCCCTTCGACCGTCGGAACTTTTCTGCTTGGAAACCGTGGAAATTTAGCCGAGGTCATTGGGTACGGGGGAGAGGGCCGGAGACGAGAATGCGACCGAATGAGCAGAAATGGGTGGAGAATGCCGTGTCCTTGCCCGTTCTCGATGATTTCCTGGAAATCGTGTCGGATGCTGCCCAGAAGTGGAAACGTTCTTGGTTTATGCGATGGAGAATGCGAGACGAAACATGTCACGAAACATGCCATCTCCATATCACATGTTAGCATCGAAAGTTCTGTTTCTTGCTAGGACACGCATCAAGGACATCCGATGATGAAAGTCATCGGGACTCTCGGCACAGAACCCGATCCGAGACACCCCGCTGCATCGAGCGATCGTTTAAAGGAGATTTTCAGGGACAATTCCGCAGCAAAGTGACGCAATAGGATCAGGGTTATGTTAATCCCTGAGCAATCGAGCGCCCTCAAAACTCACGCACACCTCTGCAATCGATGAGACCCGGCACCACAGGGCGACCGAAACCTCTCTGGTTCCCTCCAGGTGGTGTACATCGTCCAGCCGGTGCACACCCGCATGGCGGCGGGGCACCTCAAACTCATGGCGGACAAGAACCCGGACACGGCCCTGTTCTCGCCAAAAGACAATCGGATTCCTCGCATGAAGATCCCCATGGCGGAATGTCCTGGGGATTTCTATCGGAACGAGGCCAAGTACTCGAAGACGCTGTTCGTTGCACTCATCGTGGAATGGAACGACCCTGGCTTTGCGAAAGGGTCCGTTTTTTTTTTATCTCTTCCCTTTCCTGATCATTTTTATGCTGCTTATTTCTCGTATGTATTTTGATTTTTTGTTTCTCGTCTTCATTCTTCCTCGAGTATGTAATTGGATTTATTCCTTTATTTTTCATATTTTGTGGCATAATAGTGCCAGTTTTGCTTCAGCTTGAGCATTCCACATATCCTGTTACACATATCATTCCATTGCCTTATACACTAGAGAAATGTAAAAAATGGCCAACCCATCCTCCTGATTGGGCAATTGCAATTGGAATGACATTGAACTCAACATTGGACTCAACATTGGACTCAACATTGGACTCAACATTGGACTCAACATTGGACTCAACATCGGTCTCAACATTGGACTCAACATTGGACTTAACATTGCACAGGAGCCTGAGCAGAAGCCTGGGGGAAGCAGGGGAGATCGAGCCCGAGACGGACGCGATCCTCCTGGAGAACGACGTGAACACGAAAGACTTCCCGCCTTCCCTGTCTCCGTACCTTCCGGGATCCGACTGGAGGATCCCCGAGTCGGAATTCACCTATCGAATGGACCTCAGGTCTCTATCTCTGTGAATCTCACAAAGTTGCTGTCATTAAGGTCACTACATTACGGCCAAATGATGTTTTCCTTTGGTGAGGTCTTTATTCATCGATAGGAATCAGTTAAATCGTGGGGAGTATATGGATATATAATAGTTCTTTTCAAAAGTTTTATCAAGGAAGAATGACCGATCTGTCTGTAATGCTGAATTTATGGAGCTGACGTTGATATACTCGGTTGTTATGTTGAAACGAGCTGGATTCTCATGCTCTCAGTCGAAGGGAGTGATTAAAGGTTCGACAGAATTCATCATGATTAGAATGGCAGACTCCGATGCCTTAACGATGATCCGTCTTTTCACGAAGCCACGATCTCTTCGCGTTTCACGCCTGCAGGGAGGAGTGCATATTCACGATCGACCCGGAGACGGCCAGGGACCTGGACGATGCCGTCTCGTGCGAGAGAGCGGGGAACGGTCTTTATGAGGTGGGAGTTCACATTGCGGATGTGTCCTTTTTCGTCCCCGAGGACACGCCCTTGGACCAGGAGGCCAGGAATCGGGCTACGAGCGTTTACATGGTTCAAAAGGTGTTCGGCATTCGATATCTTCTCACATTTTTCATACCAGATAGGCCCCAAGACGTGCCAAATTAGTGATGGTGATGGGAAAGTTTGTCTTGGGTGTGAGAACAGAATTTAATGTCATGAGGAGTATATGTGCAGTAAAGTGAATGAAAAGTGAAAATATGAAGCAAGCAATTTGAAGAGGAGTGAAAATCAAATAGAGGTACACTCTATTTCATTTTCACTCCTCTTGCAAGGGTAAAACAGAGACGAATGCTCCCGGTACGATTCAGTAATGCAATAATCTATGTATCAAGAGCTTTCATTCCCGAGCTTCTGATACGAGATCGAAAGGTTCAGAACTTACCAGGTGATGCACACGGGAACGACATCCACCGTCACGAAAGAGTGTTGCCGTTCCTCAGGTGATCCCGATGCTCCCCCGTCCCCTGTGCGAGAACGTGTGCTCTCTGAATCCATCCGAGGACCGGCTGGCCCTCTCCGTCGTGTGGACCGTGGATGCCGACGGGAACGTCCGCGACGAACGGTTCGGACGCTCCATCATCCGATCCTGCGTCAAGCTCTCCTACGGTCACGCTCAGGTGAGTCCAGGGTCGCTCGTTCGACTTTCACTCGTCCGTTGGGAGGGGCACGATTTGTTCAAAATGGCTGTAGTAGTAAAAGTTGCGAAGTCACAGATGTGAAAAACCGATCGACGAGGGGGAAGAATTAACCTAAGTTTGGAAAGTTATTTCCAGTTTTTAGAATGGATTCAAGGCTATAATCTAATGATACAAATGAGTCCAATTCCTTTTTTTCTCATTTCAAGAGGGACTTCAGACATAAGAAACAGGGACATGGTGATCGATTCACGACTGAGTGCAGTTCTTTCTCCCTTCCAAGTCCTCGGTGAAGGAAATGTAACGATAGCATCCTTGCAGACGTAAGCATTTGGCCTTTCATGAATCTGCATGGAAGTGGCATCAATCAATCATTCGTTTGTGAGAGGAGTAAACATAAAAATGAGTCAGTGAAGAAGTATTCTCTAATTACAGTAGTTGTTTTTAATCACATCGATCACTTAAATACTGCTTTCTATTTTACTTTTCGAGATGTATTAATGCACTACTTGTGAGATATACATATGAAATGGCCACGGGCCTTGCTTGCAGTCGATCATCGATGCGAGAGACCTTCGGAAAGCTGGTTGTGCTTGTCGTTTCCAGCTGGATCCCAACTGTATATTCAGACTGATTCCGACTGAGAAGCAGATGAAAATTCAGACCAAATTTAGCTTTATAAAGAACACCAAGAGTGTATCAGCTGGTTCCTAACCGATGGATTTAATTTGAAAGCAGGCGTAATTAATCTGAAAATTTGTCAGACATTGAAGCCATAACTACAGCTTAAAAGTCTATGCACTTTCACGGACCATGTCAATCTGGAAATGGTTTCTGCTTCCCATGAGTTCCTTATCTGAGTACTTAAATTAATTGCACATGGATGCAATAATTTCGTGGAATCGCTTGAAAATTTTGAATTTTGCGGTATTGGTGATATGCCAATCAAGCAATGAAACATGAGATTATAAGCAGTGGCAACTCGTTCGCTCCTTCAAACCGTAGCTCCTATTACTAATCATACATGCGCAATTAGGGCCTCTGCTATTGCTTGCCAAAGCCCTGACATCGAGCTCTTAGGGCAGTGGTCCCCAAACTTTTTGAAGCGAGGGCCGTATGGACACTTTG